CGGTAAAAACATCATATTAGAACTTACCTATAACTGGTAAAAACATCATGTTAGAACTTACCTATAACTAGTAAACACATTATGTTACAACTTACCTATAACTATTAAAAACATCATGTCAGAACTTACCTATAACTAATAAAAACATCATGTTAGAACTTACCTATAACTAGTAAAAACATCATGTTAGAACTTACCTATAACTAGTAAAAACATCATGTTAGAACTTACCTATAACTAGTAAAAACATCATGTTAGAACTTACATATAACTTGTAAAAACATCATGTTAGAACTTACCTATAACTATAAAAAAACATCATGTTAAAACTTACCTATAATTAGTAAAAATATCATGTCATAACTTACCTATAACTTGTAAAAACATCATGTTGGAACTTACCTATAACTTGTAAAAACATCATGTTAGATCTTCCTTATAACTAGTAAAAACATCACGTTAGAACTTACCTGAAACTAGTAAAAACATCATGTTAGAACTTACCTATAACTAATGAAAATATCATGTTAGAACTTACCTATAACTAATAAAAACATCATGTTAGAACTTACTCATAACTAGTAAAAACATCATGTTAGAACTTACCTGAAACTAGGAAAAACATCATGTTATAACTTACCTAAAACTAATAAAAACATCATGTTAGAACTTAACTATAACTAGTTAAAACATCATGTTAGAACTTACCTATAACTAGTAAAAACCTCATTTAGAACTTACCTATAACTAGAAAAACATCGTGTTAGAACTTACTTATAACTAGTAAAAACATCATGTTAGAACTTACCTATAACTAGTAAAAACATCATGTTAGAACTTACCTATAACTAGTAAAAACATCATGTTAGAACTTACCTATAACTATTAAAAACATCATGTTAGAACTTACCTATAACTAGTAAACACATTATGTTACAACTTACCTATAACTATTAAAAACATCGTGTTAGAACTTACTTATAACTAGTAAAAATATCATGTTAGAACTTACCTATAACTAGTAAAAACATCATGTTAGAACTTACCTATAACTAGTAAAAACATCATGTTAGAACTTACCTATAACTAGTAAAAATATCATGTTAAAACTTACCTATAACTATTAAAAACATCATGTTAGAACTTACCTATAACTAGTAAACACATTATGTTACAACTTACCTATAACAGGTAAAAACATCATGCTAAAACTTACCTATAACTAATAAAATCATTGTGTTAGAACTTACCTATGACTAGTAAAACATCATGTAAGAACTTAACTATAACTATTAAAAACATCATGTTAGAACTTACCTATAACTAATAAAAACATCATGTTAGAACTTACCTATAACTAGTATAAACATCATGTTAGAACTTACCTATAACTAGTAAAAATATCATGTTAGAACTTACCTAAAAGTAGTAAACACATTGTGTTACAACTTACCTATAACCAGTAAAAACATCATGCTAGAATTTACCTATAACTAGTAAAAACATCATGTTAAAACTTACCTATAACTAGTAAAAATATCATGTTAGAACTTACCTATAACTAGTAAAAATATGTTAGAACTTACCTATAACTAGTAAAAAAATGTTAGAGCTTACCTGTAACTAATAAAAACAACATGTTAGAACTTACCTATCA